GAAAAAGTTCGCTTTTTGTATGTACTTGATAGTGACGTGTAAATAATGTACCTATGATGTCACTTGCATGTATATAAAGTTAAGATTTTCAGTTCCATGTATGTTTTCACAGCTCAATGGACTTCGTATGTTGTATATTTGCTTCCGTAGCCCCTAACTACGTGTTATTATGCTAAGAGGCCTTCTGTAATCCAAGGATTACTGGTCGGTTACGACGCTAAACCTATAGGAGCGGGTTTGGGTCGTGACAGTTGCTCCTGTAATTTTCAACCCGAAAGGCATCACTTTGTAACAATAGAGTCCTTTTGGGGTGATGAATGCCGTCTTCTCTTTATTTGGGGCATACATTACTATTTAGTGGTATCCTCTGTATGCATCTAGGAAATTCATCTATCCATGCCCTGAAGTGGCATCTACTAACTGATCAATCTAGGTAGTGGGAAACTGTCTTTGGGGCAAGCCTTATTTAGGCTGGTGAAGTCCACACAAACCTTCCACTTGCCGTTCTTCTTTTTCACTACCACTGTATTGGACAACCAGGTTAGATAGTGTACTTCTCAGATGGCCTGGGTTTCTATTAGCTTGTCCACTTCCTCTTCAACTGGATCCATATGTAGTAATGTCGGCCTCCTTGCTAGTTGGATGCCAGGTTTTGCTAACTTGTCTACATTGAGCCTATGGCAAGTGACCTCGGGGTCAATCCCAAGTATCTCATATGGCGTCCAGGCAAACACTTCTATGTTTGCTTACAAGAAAGCCTCTAACTTCCTTTTCTCCTCCTTGGCTAAACCTGAGCCGAGAAGGAAGAAGTGTTTTCCATCACATTCCTGGACCAGAATCTTCTTTAAAGCTTTCTCACTTTTGTCGACTGGTTCTTTGTCGACGTCATCTAGGACCTCTATGTCCTCGTCTTCAATTTCTACTGTTTCTACCTCTCGCACGTTGTAAGTGGATTTCATTGCTGCCATGTAGCAATTTTTTGCCAGCATCTAATCCCCTCTGACCTCTTTAATTCCATGCTTCGTTGGGAACCACAACAGCTGGTGCAACGTTAAGGGAACAGCCCTCATTGTGTGCAACCACGGTCTTCGCAAGATAACATTGTAAGGGGAAGTGGTGTCAATTACTGTAGACTCTATGCTTACCTTCTTCATGCTTGTCTGTACCTCTAAATTTGTGACTCCTAGAGGCCACGTCGGCGTTCCGTTGAATCCAACCATCGGGCTGTTGGATTGTTTTAAGTCATCTGGGTGAAGGCCAAGCTTCTTGTAACATCTAACATACATGATGTCATAAGAACTGCCTTGATCAACCAATATGCGCCTCACCTGGCACTCTTCAATCATTAGCGTTATTACCAGGGCATCGTTATGTGGATATCGTACCATATCCAGGTCCGCCTCAGTAAAAGAAACCATTGGTCTCTGGTACTCATTTGTCCTAGGTTTCTTTTGCTGGACCTAATACACATGTTATAGGTGCCTTACCCTCTGAGTTTCCACACGTACATCATTCTCATTGACCCTTGAATGAATCACATTGATAACCCAAGGTCCCTCTGCTTACTGCGGTGGCGATGGTGGAGGCGGTGTTGCCGGTGCCTTGGGTAGCCTTGCTTACTCTTCCCTCGTTCTGGCTTCATCTACTAAGTCTCTCAAGTGACCCTATCTGACCAAATCCTCCAAGTGTGTCTTCAGAGCCCTACATCCCTGGGTCAAGTGCCCATATTTATTATGGTAAGTACAATGCTTCCCAAGGCTCATTCTCATAAACTCACCAGGGATCTTCTCTGGTGCTCTGTAATATGGTTGGTTCCTAACCCTTTCCAGGACCTTGTAGACTGGGATTCTGAATACAATAGTGACTATCTGTGCAGCCCTCAACCCTGTTTCCTGCCTGTTAAAACCAGTGTTACCTTGGTTTCGCTTCGGTGAACGATTTCTCTTCTCCTGCTTTGGTGCCTTTGCTCCGTGTGTGTCTTCCTCTGCTCTGACATATTTCTTAATTCGTGTCATGAGCTCCTCCATACTATTTGGTAGAGTTTTTGCAAGTGACTTTCGAAGCGGACATTCATCCTCCAGGCCATTTTTGAAAGATACGATCGTTAATTCCTAGTTGCATGCCGGTATTCGGTTAAACACCTTATAATACCTTTTAGCATAAGGCCTAAAGCTTTCACCCTTGCTAATGTTCAAAGCCAGTAGGGAGTCTACCCGTAGTGGCTGCAACTTGTTTGTTACAAACCTAGCCATAAACATCTCGAACAGGCCTTCCCAACTCTTCACAGTTCCTTTTGGCAACTTGTGGAACCAATCCGATACAATTTCTCCAAAGGATGAAGGGAACATCTTGCACAACAACTGCTAATTCCCGCTATACAAAGCCATTCAATTTAAATATAAGCCAACATGAAAGTTCGGATCGGACTTACCATCATAAACCTGGAACCTCAGCATATGGAATCTCTTTGACAGGGGATGTTAGCTCGGCGTGGAGTCGCTTTCTCTGGAGGTAGTCCCTTAGATCCTTCTTCGTTCGGTCAGAGCTCGGCTATCAACAGATTTCAGCCTTTTCGGCGCGCTTCTCCTGGCGTCATTGTGTGTCCTCTTAGACTTTTCTTCATTCACTGTATCAAAACAAAGTCCCTTCCCTTGGATATGCCGAGGCTCTTTGACATAAGTCTCCTTGGTTCGTGATGTCTTCTGCGACTCACCTCTCACCGACTCTATTCGCTTGACATCCCGTGAATGCCGATGTAAGCGCTCATTTTCCTTGCCATGCTGCGGGACTACTGGGATTGTTTTATGCCCTCCTTTCTGGGTGTTAGTTTTGGCCGTTGGTATCGGTATGTCCCGCAATGGGAACGATGGTTGCATCACGTTGTTCTGCATCATGAAGTTGACAATCGACTGTAGGTCTGCCAACTTGTTCGCCATCCCTTTCCTCTCGCCGTCCCTTCTTAGGCATCTATCCTTCCATACCTGGAGGTCGTACTCGTTGTAGCACTCATCTCGGCCAGCTTTCTTCGGGGCATTCCCTTCTTTGCCGACGTCCTTCTCCCCAGGATTTGGATCCCGTGCTTCCTCATTACGGTTTTCTTTCCTGATGTTAGGATCTCTATGTTCATAACTCTCACTGTTAATATCATCCTCAATCTTTTCTTCTTGCCCGTTGTTGGCCATCTATTCTCCTTAAGTTTCCATAGACGGCGCCAAATTGTGGGTGTTGATTTTTGACCACACAACCAAAAGGGAAACTCAATTGGAGAGCACCAGTAACCTAATCCCCCTAAAAGCCTCACTTCAAAGGACTCAAGCTCCATGCTCATCCTGGACCTTTATCTAGATAGAGATAAACTCTTTTTGAGTCTTATTTTTATCCAGACTGAGGTCTTCTCATGTTCTAGGACTCTTGTCCCTTATCTACTTATCTCGAATTCCAGCATCTCCGCAGACAACCTCGGTCTAGCTGAGATTATCTCAGCACATAACCAAGCCACGTAGTACCTCGACTAACACTTCGGCGTTAACTTAGCTAAGTGTTGTCATTCACAAAATACGTCCCCACAAATACCATTACTCCAAATTAGGATGGTTCTACTGGGCGTGCCAATATATGTTAGTAAAAGTTTGGTTTAAGCCCAATTGAATGTAATTGATTGACAGACCTAAACTAATTTTTGAATAAACACAAAAATATCAAACTTTGTGGTTGAGTGTTATGTCTTGAACAGATTACGGACTTCCCTGAAGGTAAATGAATAAAAGAAAACGAGGCAGAATAGAATAGAATATGTATTTATTCAATTAAATTGCCACTTGTTAGTAGTTATAAAAATTTAAACAAGAACAAAGAAATAAAAAAATACAACAATCAACAGAGACAAGAAAAATGAGGTTGGAAAACTACTATCGCTTAATCTGCTCTTAAAATAGCTAACTTAAACTACTCCTAAATAATTCTTTACGATTTGTGAGTGGTTGTGGATGATTGGTTGATGCCTTGTTCATTCTTCAAGTTTTCTTTTTATACTTGTTTGGTTATCTCGTGTTATAGTCATCAATCAATAATCTTCCTTGATTTTTGCTCCACTCAATCATATCTCATCTTTATAGGAATTACTTGCAAATTTTGCACTTTGACTTGGTATTGATCTCCCGATTTTAGCGTATGGTTTCTAATTGATTTTAATAGATATATTTACTGGCTTTTATTTAATCTTTTTAAGCTACATCATCATTTCTTCTATGTCACGTTACTAGTATATTTGACACGCCATGTCAACATATTTGTCGATAGGAATAATAATAATAAAAAAGTTAGCCCCAGATTATTTTTAAAAAATAATTTATGATCTTAATCGACGTATCATAATCGAACTTAACCATAATCAACAAGTCATAATCGACAAAACTATAAAATGTGGTGTCAACCATTGGTATATCAATATTCCAAAGTTAAAAGTTAATGTTGTAAACAATTCTTTGTTTTTTTTGTTTTTTGTTTTGGTTGAGATTTTGTACTCAAAATTCTTATTTTATTGTATTCAACAATTTTTAACCATGTAATAATGTGGTGGTAATATTTAAATCCCTAAATTTTTAGGCACCATTGAGTAATTAAAAGTGAATTGTCATAGATGGAAACATGAATCCATTTATTGAAATTTTATTACAATTTTAAATTGTGGGTTCAATTTTTTTTCCTTGCAAGTGGTGAACAGAGATATTAAAGCCAGGCCCTTTTATATGGCCCGAATAGCCACCCAGAACAATCCATATACTTAATTTTCATGCCAAAAACTGGGCTTTTAGGCTTAAAACTCATCAAATGGTAATATGGGTAAGTCGGTGTCGGGTCAGACCCGCCCAAATTTATAGCCGTAGAAGTTTTGTCTCTCGCAAGTCACACAAATCCTCCATCATCATCGGTTCTTTCGACTGCAAGCAAGCAATTGAAAGTTTCTTGACAAAAAAGATACTGACAAATTTTCTCGAGTAACAAACGAGTTCTAATGGCTAGCAGAAAGCTGGTCCGAGACTTATTCCTTCCAAATCGCTCCTTTTGTATTCAGATATTAACATCTCAACAGGTTGATTCCTCCACAAACTCTCACAATCCCCATTTTCATTCATGCTTTCTTGCATAAACACTTGCGTTGTATTTGATTGAGAGATTTGAGAAAAGATTTAGAAAAGAAAAGAAAAAAAATAAGTAAAATGTGAATAAAATATAATTATATTTCATTTAATTTCACACATCTTTTACTTTTTAAATCCCTACCAAATTCTCCAATCAAATATAGTATTATTAGTGTAAATCTTCCTTGTACACACGCACACAATCACTCTCAAACATATATATATATATATATAGTAGGGTTTGAGTTTGTGATTTTATTTTCAAATATGAATATATATATTTTTTAATCAATTCTTATAAACTATCATTATTTCAACTGAATGAGGAGTAAATTAAAATTTAATACTAAATTAATAAAAAAAAAATATATACATAGTATTCAACCTCAACTAATTGATTTTTTTTTTTGTGAAAATCAATTCAATCAACTACTTAAGTGGAAGTTCTTTTAGATTCCTGAGGTCTTCAATGATGTACTCTAATTAGTAAATTTGTGATTAATCTCCTTTTGAATGTACACTAGCAACAGAGAATCCATCCTCCATTTGTTGCGAGGCCTAATTTTGATGATATTTATATGTGAAAATGATCACTCTTGTTTTTTTCTTGAGCTTGGCCTAATTTTGACCATATTTATAACCGAAAATGATTGCTTTGGTTTTTGTTCTTGAAAACTAGGGTATTTTTTTTGTTTTTTTGTTTTTTACATCATAGCTTCGTTTGGTGCTAATATAGTCAACTTTTTTGTGTTTGAGACTTTTTTAACTTCGTTTGATTTGAATTTTTTAGTTATTTTTATTTTTGTAAAAGAAAAGGTGTAATGATTATGGGTTGAAAATATTAGGCATCATGAAAAATTCTTCATGAAAATGATCATGAACAAATCTCCATCTTTGTATTATACTTCAATGTTAGGTATCATGAAAAACTTTTCATAAAAATAATCATGAAAGCTTTGTGACCCTTGGATTACACTTAGAATAAAGCACCTCATACTAATCAAGGTAATCCATGAATCATAAATCTTTCATGATCATTTTCATGAAAAAAAATTCATGATCCCTAACTTTTCTCATTATACTTTGTAATTTATTATATATCTAATCTAAGGCTCAAAAATCTTTCATGATCATTTTCATGAAATATTTTTCATGATATCTAACATTATTGTTATGGGTTTGATGTGATATTTTGTCTTAGGCCTCGTTTGGGAACATGTTTTTTTAGTAACTTTTTAATTTTTTGGTTAAAATATGATGTAAAAAAAATTAGTATACTTGGAATGATTTTTTGATTTTTTAATGAAAAGACGTGCAAAAAGTAGAGAGAAAGTAAATCTTTGATTTTTTAGTATAAGTTGTTAATGTTTTTGATTTTTTTAGTGACTTCTTAACTTTTTAACTAAAATCACCACTCACCAAACGAGGCCTTATTTACTTATTTAGCATATTTTATTATTTTGTACTTTTTTAGTCCTAAAATGATAGTCAAACCAGGGCTATATGTGCCTTCTAGTTATTTTATTTATTTATAAAAAAGGGGTCAGCAATCTCAACTTTTGTGTTGCAGAGTTCTACAAACAAAAAATCTATAATATTGGTTTTTTTAATCTAGAATGATATGCTAGATTTGGGTCCCTGTCATTTTAAAAATGGAAGTTCATCAATTTTATTAATATTTTCAAGAAAATATTTGTCATATCATGCTATGCTAATTTTCGATTTGCATGCCATTTCTCTTTTTGTTATCCGGTTATATCAATATGGAAGCCAGGGAAAAAATGGTTTTACCTGTGGCAAGAGTAGAACACGTTTTAATGAATTCAGTGTTTGGCCAATTAGACTAACCCTAATTGGTTGATTACAAACAAAATGCTTATACAATGCCAACAATATCAAGTGGGCTCCTAAAAAAATTATATAAACTGAATGTCTGTGGATGCTATTGTTATATATATATGGTTTTAGTTTGTGATTGTATTTATTTTTGTCTAGGTTCCAAGTTCAGGCATAGGGCTAAAATTCCTTCCTGCTAATGGGTATTGGGGTAATCGTCGTCAATTCAATGTCTTTAATTTGTTCTTCAAAAAAGATGAAGGCGGAGCTAACAGGTGCACTGATAGTCTGATACTTATCCAAAATTTCTTCTTTTGTTTTCAACTGTGTTACTGCTAATAACCTTTAAGAAGAAAATATTTATGAAGTTGTCATTTTCCTCCCTTTTCTTCCCCCTGAAGATGCTCTTTCATGAAACTATATTCAGTTCCAGCTCTCTTTTTAAATTTGTTTGAATTTTGTGGGATGATTAAAATGCATGTATGTGGTTTTTTTTTTTTTTTTTAAAAATATCGGGGAGGGGGGGGGGGGGGGGGGATTGTGCTTTCTTGATGTGGATTGCTTTAGTTTTATTCTTGTGCATTTGAATGGCCCCACTGCATTTGCTGTGATATTCTACTCATAAAATGTGACCTATAGAAAAAATGGATGATGCATCACAAAAATCTAAGTTTTCAAAATCATTTGCAAGGTAGCTGCCATGTTTTCTTCATGGTTCCATTCAAGATGGTGCATTTTACTTGAAATTCTATGTCAAATTCTGGCCAGGCCGTTCAATTATCTTGGGTTGGGGGGAACCCAAACATAACCTAATTGTTGTTTGGGATGTTATCCATCTTTCATTTCACTTGCTTGCAGGTATAAGGAATTACTTCGGTCAGTCAAGGAACTTGAGGTGAAAGTAGATAAGTTAAAAGGACTGACAGATGCTCTGGATTATCAGTAATTTTCTAACCAATTCGCTCTCATATTCCGTCATTTCTTGAAATGACAAACATCCAAGTTTTCAACATCATTTGCATGGTAGCTGCCATTTTTTCTTAATGGTTCCATTCAAGATGGTGCATTTTGCTTGGAAGGGTACTGATTTGTAAATAGAAAGTTCGTACGGAACAAAACATGTCAAAAGCATTTTCAAAATTATGAGAATGATGATTGGGTTTTGATTGGAAATGAAAGGATCACAAAAAGCCACATCATTCTGTATAGAGGTTTCGTATATTCTGTTCGTATATCATTACTCTTCTTAAAATTCTATGTCAAATGCTGGCCGAGCCATTCAATTGTCTGAGGGCCACCCAAACATGCCCTAATTGTTGTCTGGGATGCTAACTACTCATCTTTCAATTCACTTGCTTGCAGAAATTTGGATTTCCAACAGTCAATCATTGAACAACTGAAGGAGAAAGCAGTGGAGACAGAACCAATAATAGAACTTTTAGTAGATATGAAAGAAAGGTAAATTTTTAACAAATTCACTAGATTTTTTTTTGTAATTAAAATATATATATGTATATATATATCAAGGTCCTGAGTGGTGAACTGGCGAATGCAGAACCAAGCAGATACTTGAGCAGTTGGACAAACTGAAGGCGGAGGATGCTGAAGCTATGGCAAAGAAGGTCTGATCCAAATTTCTCCATATTGATGCTGTTCTCGCTGTGACTTTTTACAGTTTTGAACTTATGGATTAGATCGAATTCTTTTTAACAAATTAAGATAACTCGTGCTTTAATTTTCTGCCCTGTCATGGTTCTAATTCTCCACCCATATGGGAATTTATGGTGTTTCTATAGAAGGCTATAGTTTATATATCTCGAGCCTGAAAATTATGCCTCCATGCTTTGATTTGTTAGTTTGTGACTGATTTTGCATTAGAAAAAATGTAGGTTTGAGTCTGCCTTGCATTTGTACCAGCATATAACTTTTTTTTGACTTTGTTGATATGTTATATTTGTGGTTTGGTAAGTAGAAAGTTAGTCGTTCGAGTTAGCCCAGTGATCAGAAAGAAGAACCTTGTACTTTGCTAACAAGTTTGACTCTGCCCTCTTTCAATGTACCAAAGAAAAGAGGTAAGATTATTCTGAGTTTGGCTTGATAAATAATATGCAATCTAAAGATTGTATGAAAAATCAAGCTACTCTAATTTGATTTGTGATCAATCAATTAAATTTTGTTATCAAACCATTGAGATTTGCAGTTTGGTAGCAGATTTAGGAAAATTGGATTTCATCCCTTTTTCAAAGATGTTTCAAACTTTACCCATTACACCACCTTAGCAACTTACAAATATTTGGTAAATAAATATTATTTAATATATTTTTTCATTTTTTTCCAGCACCAAGAGCAATTAAAATATAAACATATACTCTCTGAAGGCACTTTTGCATATCTTAATACTGATGTTTTTTATTTATGTAGAATTTTTAGTATATTTATGAAGTAATTATGATGTTATTATTTGATTTTAGTTGACCTTACAATTAAATCAGGTTGTTTTTTTTTTTTCAGTTTGCTCAATTCGAGCTATTAGATATATAATGGTAAAAATATAAGAACAATGGAAGATTATATTTATTTATTTTTTTGAAACAAAAAACGAATTGAGCTAAATACACAGGCCTATCAAATACGAATATAAAAAAAAAACTTGGGGCTGCCTGACATTTATACCAGCATATGCTCTATTTACCATCCTCAGTCTAGTTCCCCTAACAATTCTTAAAACCCTAGAAACTTCTCTTAGATATCCTCACTGCTCTTTCTCTATATTCCTAGGGGGAGAGGGTGGTGCTTTTAACCTTAATCTTCCCTCCGTTTCTTCTCCTATGATTTCTATCACCATGCCAGCCAACCACTCTTCTTGTCTCCATTATTGGCTTGCTACCAAGAAAGCTTTAAGATCTAGTATCATATCTAATTTATGACCAAGATCTGATACTTTTAAATGCGTTATTATATGCTAGGCAACCACTTTAGATTCAGAATATTTTATTTTATAATGTAGAGACGTGAATTAAGGTACTAAAGGTTGTGATGATGAACAGATCGTGAAGGTAATTGATATTGTTTGTTTGGTGGTGATCATTTTGTTTTGGGTTTTCGTGTTGCAATAATATCTCTTAATATAAAGGTTTTCTTATTTCATAGAAGTTTTCTCCTCCCCGTATGGAAGTTTGGTTTTTCTCCCTACGTGGAGATTTGTATCTTCCTACGTGAATATTCTATTTATCCTTTTGGAATCTATTTTATACTCTGATATACTTTATTAGACGATTTATTATCAGATGTGTAATATATTAAGTCTTGTACTTCCTCAACTAAAAAAACATTTGTACCAGCATCGCCTAACATGTACAACTCAAGTGTAGAGTTTGAATATATTGAAACACAAAATACTACACTCAGGAAATATTTGTCATGTAAACTGAATTTGCATAAAATACATTTTTCTTTTTATTTCTGATGTTTAGTTAATAGATACTTGATACAAAATCTTCTGTTGCATACTGAAAAGTAACCATTTCACATTTGGAAAGATATATCTCAAAGACTCGAACTGGAAGTGAATTGTCGACCTACGAATTGTTTAATGATAAGTCATTTTGGAGGCTATAATGCAAAAATATTTTACTTTTTTTTCATCAACCAAATAATAAAAAGGTCAAATTACAAACACCCCTCAAGGTTTGGTGAAAATACAAATTCCCCAGAAGTTTGAGAAATTACAAATTGCCCCCTAAAGGTCAAATTTGCATAACAAATTAGAGGAGAATCTGTATGAAAATAAAAATCTCAGGGGGCAATTTGTTATGAAAATATAAATCTCAGGGGGCAATTTGTAATTTCTCAAACCTCAGGGGAGAATCTGTATTTTCACCAAATCTCAAGGGGGTGTTTGTAATTTGCCCTAATAAAAAATAGGGACAATCATAGAAAAACCCTAGGGTTTGAGGCTTGTAATAAAATAAATTCTAAATTTTTAATTTTGTCAATTTAAATTCTAATATTTTGATTTGCTTTCAATCTGAACCATTTACATATTTTTATGAAGTAAAATCGACAGAAAAAGAGTATTTTAGTTATTAAAATCAATCTAAAATGTACATAAAATGTCTGAAATAGTATTTCATTGAGTTAAATTATCAAAATACCATTTTTTCGTTGATTTCACTTCACAAAAATAGACAAATCATTTAAATTGAAAATAAATCAAAAGTTTGGGATTTAAATTGATAAAAAAAAAATTCATAATTTAATTTGTTAAAAGGTTCAAATCCTAGAGGGGTATTATTATTATTATTATTATTATTATTATTATTATTATTTGTAATTTCCCTAAAAAATATGTAAAATATTTTCAAAGAAAATAATGTCAAAACAGACCTAATTTCAAATTTGAAAAATTTATCGGAAAGTCCTATATGACTAAATTGTGTTCCGTTTGATCCCACTGAGTTTTTGTTTGATTGACAAGTCCATGTGATGGAAGATTGCTTACTAATAAGTTCTCTTTTGAATGTAGATGGTTATATACTGAATGAATATGTCCTCACATAATTTATGGGAATATTATGTTTTATTTTGGGTATGTGTAATCGCATGATTTGTGGGGGGTGTCATGTGCTAAACATGTTAGACTCATCAGGCACTCTAGAAGAGCACGAAAGCTGCCTGTGCTTATAAATTAATGTTATTTTGTTTTTCTGATGCACAATATGATGCTTGGACACACATTTGACAAGGAAACCCACAAAATTTCATGGAGATAATTATATTACCGTCCTGCTATCCCTGATTGTATCTTATAATATGACTGATAAATCCCATTTTCAGTATGCTAAAACGTTGCCATTCATTTTGTGAAAATTTGTTTATAAATTTTTCCAAGTAGGGATTTCATTCTGAGTTCATTTTTTAGTGTGGCAGTTCAACAGTGTTGTAGTTGACGTCAACCCCACTCACTCCATCTATAATATGGGTTTCGGAATCACACCAACACTGCGTGAACCCAACAATGAACAACTATAACGTGAACCCACTCACTCCATTTATAATGTGGGTTTCAAAATCACACCACTTATTCCATCTATAACATGAACCAAACAATGAACCACTTACGTTTTCCAAACACTGATTAAGACTTTGCAGCTGACAACAATGCACCTCAAATTTGATCGGCGGGGTTCACAATGCAAAACCCACTGTTCTAAGAAGGTATTAGGGTTTTTCATGACCACGAACTCAACGAAATTGAACAATACAAAGATTCTGATTCACACCAACACTGCGTGAAATATTTCATCAATCTATAACATGGGTTTCGGAATCACGAATACTTGAAATTCAAATTAGAAAAGGGGATAATCGTAACAAATGGTAGGGTTCATGTCAACATGCACCACTGATTCGTCTTTCTAAAATGGGGATGATTGCCAATGTGTGAGAACATTCCACCGGGTTGGGTTTTTTAGATGAAAGGGGTTCGTTTTCCGGATTGGTGGGTTTCTCACACCACAACAATCACCTCAACCCCAACACACCCACACCAAATCGATTTGAAAATAATTTCGAATACAATCCCACAAATCATGTTTGTGGGATTCAATCACAGGTATTTGAATTTCAAAACCCACAGCAACGACAATCGGAAAAAAAAAAGGGACGAGTTGTGAGAAATCTGAAATGGAAATCCAAAACCAATTCAGTGTGCCTTATTGCGCGTGTTCACGTCACGCATGAAACAACACTTACGATGTAACCCACGTCCCATTCTGCGCGTGTTACAAACCTACTAAATTAAAAAAGGTATTAGTGCGATTTTCCGATCAACGTGACACACAAACACTCATTCACCTTTTCCCATACAAACCCATACCAACTGTCAACCAATAATACTAGTAGTGGCAAAATAGTCAACAAACAAATTAAGGGACCACCTAGTCACTCACTAAGAAAACATTTAGGATCTTATGAATTACAAATTTACAAAATGGGATTTACTGGTTAATTCCCCTTAAAATTTCAACCCGATTTAAAATTTAAATAATTACTTTGTTCTATATATGTATATATCAAAGTAATTAGAGTAAGGTATGGAATTTTAATCATTAATCTACTTTTGAAATTCAAATCAATGAGGTCTCACTACTTAGATATACTTCAAATGCAATATCTACAAGTAAAATTGCAGAAACAAATGTTGAACTATTTTAGTGAAGAATAGGGATGTTCAAGCCCGAACCCTTTTTATGGGCCAAATAACAAACCATAACAATCCATATGTTTGTTGGGCCAAATTTTTAGCCCAAAGACTATCTGCCTTTTCATATATATATATATATATGGGCTAGGCAGCCCAACGTTGTAGCCCTAGTAAGCAGTTTCCTTTCCTCTCTCGCAAGTCACAAACAAAGAAAAGAAAACCATCTCCAATCGCAAAAGAAAGATTCTTTCGGAAACAAAAAAAGAAAGGGTAAATTACATTTACCTCCCTGAGGTTTCTGACAAATACAGGGACCTCTCCTGTGGTTTGAATAATTACAGTAACCTCCCCTGCTTTACCTGACAATATCAAGATTCCCCCCTGCTGTCAAAAATCACTAAACGGTGTTACTTTTTCCTTAAAAAATTACCTTATTGCCCTTCCCTTGAAAATATTAAAAAATGTTTTTGGATTGGAGGATAGGTTTGGAGTGTTTGGAACAATATTTTTGGATTTATTTTTTAAAAAAATTAAAAAACGTTTTAAAAAAAATATTTTTTTATTTTAAATATATAATTTTTATTTAAATATTTTATTTTATTTTGTAAATATTTTAATATTTTAATTTTAATATTTTAAACTCAAAACACAATTTCACACTCAAATCGTAACCAAACACATAACTCAAAACTCAATTCAAAAATTATTTTCAAACCTCATAACCAAACACATAACTCGACACTACTTTCAAAACTCTACACTCAAATCGTTACCAAACGCCTAACAAAAAAATTAAAATATTTAAAAATATATATTATAAAATAA